CTTAGATTAAGAATAATTTAAGAGCACTGATGAAATATTTTGAATATTGAATATATCATGAAATGACTTAAAATAAAATATTATGAATATTATGAATAATGTAAGCTTGAAATATGTATTGTGTGCATGATATCAAATGGTTAATTATGAATTGAGATTCAATTTATATGGATGTTCGATGCATTAGATATGCTTACTCAGCTTCAACGCTGAGCGTGTAGTATGTTTTATTTGCTACACGCAGGTAAACAAAAAGAATGATGTGATGGAATCCTGGCGGCAGACGGAGCGAGATGGTCAAAGTGGATGTGTAAAATGAATTAAAGTTTAAAAAGACATAATATTATTATGTTTTGTAATTGTTATTTATTCAGCTTCCGCAACATTAACTACTCTGTTATTATTCTGAATACTTTATTATGAAATAAAGTTTTAAAATGCTTGAAACCTTTTGAATGTTTACAAATACCAAGTTTATACTTTAGTCCGAAAGGGGCTGCAGACCTGGACAGATTGAGGTGTTACAATTTTCTTTGCCTCATAAGTGGGTGATGGTAATTCGTGTCCATTTGGAAAAAGTTCACCCAACAAACTTAATAAATACGTGAAACTTTTGTCACTCCACCCATTTGTTACTTTTAAATTGAACAATTCCAAAACCCCTTTCAAACGTGTAAACTTTGTACAACCAGGATACAATGGGCGTTTTGAGCTTCCTACTAAGCTCTCATACATATTACGCTCTTCATCAATGACGACTTGATTAGGCGGAATATCTTGAGTGGCCCCTAACTCATCTTCCATTTCAACCTCAAGATTGTGGATGTCGTGAATATCATCCTCAACTTGTTCATTATGAGTATAGCTAGAACTGCAAGGATTTTCTAACTCTTCATGCCATTTCCATCGCAGGTATGTTGGGTCAAAACCCTTGTGATACACATGTAATCTTATATCTTTAACGCTATCAACCATAAAATGGTTGTGACATAAGTTACAAGGACAATATATCTTCTTTCCTTCTTTTGAATGTTTCTCTGTGAAACGAATAAACTCTTCCTAACCAAAACTAAACTCAGGTGATGTACGCGACATATCAATCCAACTTCTATCCATCATATGAATTGCTAAGCAAGAAAGAAGGGCAAATGATTGATACATACAAAACAATACACAAAAAAATTATTAACACTCATTTTATATATACACACAAACATATAAGAAATACAGGCAACACAATATTTTATTTCTTATGATGTAACAAAAATCCGGTAGCACTTCTTCATTATACAAATGGTACTTCTTTACACCATCCTAACCCATTCTTGAAATGTCACCCTCACTAGTAAATGTATTTCATTTTCTTTGACCTATCAAAATTTTGGCAGCATTTCCCAATGGTTCTCCAAGTGCACGATGTAACGTAATTACATATGCACCCGAAGAACAAATTTAGGAAACGTCAAACAAAAAATGATGGAACAAAGAGAAAAAAAATGTAAAAGGAAAGAGAATATGAGAATATTTGGGAGATAATTTTGTATATATTATTTTTGGTAGTTTCCCTGTATAGGGATTTCTTTTTCTTTGTTAATTACGATTCTCCACTATATATGTATGCCTTGGTTATAAATTGTACACACAGAAATAATACAGGGAATTTCCTCTCAAACAATTCTTTCATGGTATCAGAGCCTAAACTCTAGGAATTTCCGCGATTAATGTTCACGATCGCCCGGCATCGCGTCCATTGGTCGTTGCTTGTTGTTTCTGCCGAGAAGATCGAAACAATCGACCATCTTTGCAGAACGGTCGAAGGCATCGACCGTCCCGACGGCAGTCTCTTAGATCGCTGCTGTTTTCCGACCCAATTCTTGATTTGTGTCACCCAGTATGTCTGAAGAAACACCCATGAAGATTATTTCCAGCTAGAAGAATGAGGAATGAGAGGAGGAGGAAGTTGGGGTGCGACGTCGTCGTATCTCTCCATATGATCTGTCTCCGAGCGACAATCCGGGTATGATTTTGACCCATGTCGTTCTAAAGGGGGATAATTATGATGAGTGGTCCAAATATCTGCGTTTGGCTCTTCGAGCACGCAAGAAGTTTGGATTTGTTGATGGGACAATTAGGATGTCTGATCCTGATTTAGAAGATTTTGATTATTGGTGGACGAATCATTCGCTGTTGGTCTCTTGGATTCGGAACACGATTGATCCAACCCTGAGATCAAGCATAACATTTGTGGAGAACGCTTCAGATCTGTGGAGTGATCTGAAGGCCCGCTTCTCTATGGTTAATGGACCGAGGGTTCAGCAGTTGAAGCGGGACTTGGCGGAATGCAAACAAAATAATCTTTCCATAATGGAATATTATAGAGAAAGATGAAGAAGTTGTGGGATGATCTAGCAGATTTAGAGCGGTTCCCAATCTATGCGTGTAGGAATTGCACGTGTGATTTATGGGAGAAGCTTACGCAGATGCGTGAGAGGGAACGCTCTCATCAATTTTTGATGGGTTTGAACGATGCTTTGCATGAAACTTTGTGGTCAAATTTGTTGGCCCAGGAAATCATACCACCGGTGGAAAGAATATATAATATTCTTGTCCAACATGAAACAGCACGGAATGGTATGCACAAAGGAGAAGGCAGTGAAGCAGGTGCGTCCGCTTTTTCCATGAAGAATAAGATGGAGGTCAAGGAGCTTGTGTGCTTTTGATAAGTCGTTTTTGGGTTAGTTCTTTTTATTCTTTTTTTAGGCATTTTTAATATTTTTAGTGTTTAATTTTTAGTTCTTTAGTTTAGTTTTATTTTAATTCTCATTTTTACAATCTTTTAATTTTCTTTCAAAAATAGTAGTTTTTTTTATCTTTTTTTTGCATTCTATTATTTTAATTTTCCCTAACCCAAAATTATTAGATCTCTTATTTTTAGGAGAAAAATGTAGCAAAAAAGGCTAAAATGAAGTTCAAGTTTGAAAAGAAGAGATCGAATTTGGGCCGGAGCCCAAACCCAACACAAAAGACCAACCCAGCATTCACTCCCCCAATTTGATTTCACATCAGAAAGGAAAAAGAGAGCCAGCAGCAGCTTCTTCTTCATTAACGCAGCTGCGAAGTAACCGGCGACCAATTCCTCCAACGTCTCTCCGCCAAGTTCACCCAAGCGCTCCAACGGGAAAAAATCTTTCGGCTATAAATTGCGCCATCGCTAAACAAGGAAGGGGAAAAACACGAGGAACAACAACGATTGAGAGCCGCGGCTTAGGCCGCGGCGGTGGTGATGACCAGCGAGTTAGTCCAGAAGTTTATCGGTTCCTTCAAGCTCCAATTCTTCAATTACTTCTTCTTCAATAATTGGTAACCCTATATGTTATTTCTCCAATTTCTTTGTAAAAGTGTTGTTTCAATTCAAATTTACTTTTTTTGCTTGTTGTGTTAATTTCGAAAATTCCAAAATGGTTGGTGTTTCTTTATGGGTTTTTTTTTATGTTATATTAAATCCCTTATGAATGAAAATTGATTCTTACTAGTTTCTTCAATTTTTGCGCAAATTGATGTTAAATCGGTTAATTATAAATTTGATTTCATAAGTAGGTTGGTATGTCGAATTCGGTTATCATTGAAACTAATTTAGCTACATATTTTAGTTAAATGATTCTCGAATTCATACGTGAATCTTTTTTGTGACTTGTGTTTTGTAAAATTTTAAGGTAAATGATCTTCTTAGCCACATAAGTCGACCGTTTTCCTTAAGATTCGTTATAGAGTGATTGTTTATGTCTTGGTGTTTTTGTTTGTTATTTTCATAAAAATTGGGATTGTTTAAGCACAATAAACAACTCTTGATTTAATGAAAATATGTAATGTTCTTTTATGTGAATAGATTACAATTCTTATGCTTGAGTAGTTCAAGGAGACCTGCAAAATATTTTCATCATTAGACGTTAAAGTTTATTAAAGTGTATCAAACGTTCTTCATGAATACTTTGTGCATGGGAGTTAGAATGAAAGAAAGATTCGCTCTTTTATAAACTTTTTCATCTTTTGGAATCATTGTTTGAGCGCTTGAGGTGAGTGGGGGTTCAAAGTAACCAAAAGGCCTTTGAATCTTTGACTCCGGGCCTTATAGAGAGTTGACGATCCTCTATATGTGGTCAAGGATATGAATCAACTCGAGCCTTTGAATT